GAGGGTTTCTAGGGTCTACGCGAAGGCTGTCCAGCGCCTGAGCATCTATCGACTCCCAATGCTGAAGGGCAGGGCCTGGCATTAACTTGGCCTCGCTAGAAAGGTCTCGGCCGAATGAATTTAGAAGGCCTGCGCCAGACCGAGGATACACTTCTTCCCCAACTTACGATTGTGTCGGCTTTGGGGCATGTTTGGTAGTAGGGGGTTCGTCCACTAAGTCAGACGGAGCATGACAAGCGACAAAAAGCCTTGGTTGCAATCCGTACGTACAGATGTTTGATGTTACTTTGCCTACATCTTACTAGCTCGTGATTGAACAATCAGCCACGGGCTGTCAACCCAAACTGACAAGTGACATTTAAGTACTTCAGACATCTATCTGCTTACATGCATTCATTAGTCGAAGCACCCATCAGAATTGTAGGCTTTATCCATGAATCCATCCATTCATCCATCCAGCCAGCGAGCCACCCAGCCGCCCACCCCCCAGCCATCCACCTGCCTGCCAGACAGCCAGCCCGCCCGCGTACGTATGTATACGTGTATATATATATATGTGTGTGTGTGTACGTGTATATATATCTATATATATATATATATCGGTAGATCTATCTTTGCCTGTATGTATGCATGTAATTATGTATGTAGGCGTGCATGTGTATGTATTTCCTACGTATATATATATATATGTGTGTGTGTGTCTGTGTGTGTATATATGTTTCTGCATATGTGTGTGGATATGGGTATGGATATTTGTGCATATGTATATGTATATGTGCATGTGTATGTATGTATGCATGTATGTATGTATGAATGTCTGTATGTATATATACATATACCTATCTATACATCCATCCATCCGTCCATCCATGCATGCATGCATACATTACATACATACATACATACATACTTACTTACTTACTTACTTACTTACATTACCTTACATTACCTTACATTACCTTACATTACCTTACATTACCTTACATTACCTTACATTACCTTACATTACCTTACATTACATTACATTACATTACATTACATTACATGCATGCATGCATACTTATATGCACCCGTACATACACATCTATACTTGCCTGCCTACCTGTGTACATACATATATGTGAGCATTTCTATACACACAGTACATGCAGTTTACAATCATATATGCTTAAATACATGTGCATCTCTAATTGTTCTGTAGCCTTGGTGGCTACACTGTGTGCCCTGTTGTCTACTGTTTGTGTGTCTACACCGGTTCATGTAAGCCCTCATCCATACTACATGCATAAGTATGTGATGTCTGTCTGTCTGTCTGTCCGTCTGTCTCCGTCTGTCTGTCTGTCTACATACACACGCACACGAAATCGTGCAGTTTATTCCATTCCAGTGTATGCATATGCACACGGTGCCTCGCACTTCGAGCTTCGATTTTTCATTACACGAACCGTGCATATCACATTGCCTTTCTCGTCCGAAGTTCTGGATGCTCAGGGTGTCATGCCTGCGGAACTGCCTTCGTCCTCGGGACTCGCAGCTGCAGCGCCAGCTGCAGAACGCAGGAAAGGCTCAAGCCGTGCTGTCCAAAACTGTGTCAACTTGGTTCTTTGCCATGTTCTGGTGGCATAATACCTGATCAAATCGACGGAATCGTCTTGCTTGGCGGGAGTGGCCGCCAGATTTTTACCCGACACCCATACATCAACGACTGCAGACAGCAGACAGCGCAATTAACCAGAGTGTGGTCAATGAATGTTCTGCGCCTGTCCAAACTGTACTCCGTTCTACAATGCCCACTGGGTGTGCATAGATGAACAAAGAAACGACGCTGCACAGCACTGCGGGAGGCCAGCAGGGTACAAATGAATAAAGTATTCAGTACTCCTGCACGAGGCCTAGGAAGAAACTAACGGCAGGCGGCGGTAAAGAGCCATCACACAAGCTGCTCAACCTGTACGCGACCAGAACGGCTCTTAACTTCAAGACGCACCCTTAACGCATCTAACACTTCTCCTTAGAGCTCCCTCTTCGGGGCCCTGATGCTGAGACCAGCACAGAACGATTCCGCGCTGGCTGCACTACCTCACTCCAAGGCCAGCCGGATACAACAACGTCACGAAAAGGACGTTCAATAACTTTCTTGAAACCGTCCGTTCTTGCAGCATCCCCACATGTCCTGCAAGTTAAGCATCAGGTCAAGATTCTGAGGGTCTGGCTGGATGCCCGCGAGCCAACAGCATGGTAGCAATGCGTGACTGGCCGTGCCTGGCGAGTACTTGATGAAAAAATCAACCACGAGGCCCTTTGTGACTCAGCATGACTCAGCAAAATTCGCCTCGGCCCCGACCGAAGCTGTCAGAGATTCCGACACCCCCCCCCCCCCCCCGCCCACCCCGCATGCCAAGACTACTTTCGGCCAGGTTGAGGCGGACGACGCGAAAGCGTTTAAAATTGTTTCCAAAGTTTTCAGCGCACAGCCGGCTCGAGGCACCAGGCGGCGGTGTGAAGAAGCGTGTCTCCGGACGGGGTCGCCTCCTGCCATACTTAAAGGGACTGGATCTCCTGCCTAGGCGAATCTTCGGACTTTCTACTGGGCTTCAGATACTGACGTGGCTCAAAACTTGAGGCTTACGACCCCTCCTAATAAGCTCTGAACCCTACACCCTGGTTCAAGACAAGCGGCTTGCAGGAGTTGGTCACCATGTTTGTCGCCAAGGAGTCGCTCCAACACCCCGCAGTTGCCCTGCGAATACGCCGAGTGCACTGTGGATGACAAAAAGCAAACACAAACACACACACACA